ATTATCATTCAGGGGATAAATAAATTACAGTGTAATTAATGAACCATTAGGGGGCTTATATTCATTGTTATCTTTTAATTTTATACCCTTTTTAATATAAATAAAAATTCACTTTATTCAGATCTGAATTTGCTTCTGTGATAGATCTTTTCATATTTTTTTTTATATTATTATAACTGCTGCTCAGTTCTGTGAAACTTCTTTAACAATTGTTTTTTATTTCATTCAAATTCAAACAGATTCAATCATATTGAGAATTGAAAAATTCACACATCAGAGCATTCATTGAATGTGATGAATTTCATATATATGATGTTGAATATAATGATTATAAGCAGAAGTTCAATTTTTCTGAACAATGATATTTAAATATTTTTTTTCACATTTATTAATAAAGAAAAAAAGTTTTGAAAGAAGAATTTTGATCTGATATTAATATCAATCAATTTTATTACTTTTATTATGAAATAATTTATCTGTTTTTTTTTTTCACTTTTATATTGATTGAGATTCTGACAGTTGATGAAGATTTAAATGTCATATTTTATTTTAAAACTTTTATTCTGTTTTTTTAATTGATTTCATTATTTTATTAAAAAAATTTATATTTTTTATTAATTAAGTCTTTTCTTGAGCAGGTTTCAGACTTCAGTAGTGACAGAAACTCTTTTTATTATATGAGAAATAATTTCAAAATATCAATTTTAAAAACCTTTTTCATTGTTTATATATACAATTTTGAAAGAATCTTTTCTTGAAGATTCTTCAAATTCAATATTCTTTACAATGATGAAGTAATATAACAGATGTTTTATCTAATTATATAACTTTTTTTCAATTTTTTAAAACTCAATTTTGATGATTTAAATATCACTGAAATCATTCATATTTTATTTTATTGATCAAGTCAGGTTTTTGAATAGATTTGATCTTTTTCATACTTGCTTTTCACAAGATTTTTTATACAGTGTTGATGTAAGAGATGGGCTACAAGAGTAATTACAAGAGTAGTGTGAAGTACGCACAAAGGATATTAGAAAGGTAGCAATCTCTATTGTTCAAAGCTAATCGCTGATCTCCTAAAATCCACGGATATCAGCGAGCATTATATAGATAATATTGCCATCGCCACGTATCTATCGCCACGTATCTATCGCCACGTATCTATTTCCTAATATAGATATCTCCGTTGCGCCTATTACAATTATCTCCCTTCTTCAAAGGCCTGGTCCCCAGGGCTTCTTATTGTGCGAAGTTCGTAATATGTGCTGTGTGGTTGAATTGTATAAAGTTCGCAGGATAGGACCGAATTAATTGTTCGGGTTAATTCCGAAGCGTTGCTGACTCGGGAAAACGTTGTTCCAGTTTCGGTGTTATCGCGGTCCAATCATGATTTAGGCACAACCCCTGAACCCCTTTCCTTTAACCTTTACACCACAAATCGTATCCTAACGAGATCATCACCATCATCACTAACAACGAATTTTTTTATTTAAAAGAATACACCAATTGATCAAGCAAAGTACACTGTATCTTCCCATGCGATTTTTATTGCGACATTCGAAGTTTTGGTTGCGTGGTTGCGTTTTCTATTTTGGGTCGGATTTTGTGTTGCTGCAACTTCTTTGATCGATATTGTAACATTGGTTTTAACCACCAACATCTGTTCTTTTCTTGCTGCTTCTTGCCTCTTCTCTCTTCTTAAAAGGTTCTTGATACTGATTAATGTCGTAATAGAATGTCAGAACCAGCTGCTTCCGTTGCCGGTTCAGAACCTATGGAGGGTGATATGCTGAATGCCATCGAGAGCATTTGCTTGGGTTGTCTGGAAAGGTTGCAAAACCCTCTAGTATACCCTTGCTTTGTGAACGACGGGCGGACACGCTGTCACGCCTGCCATATATCGAATACTGGGCAAGGATCTTGGGTGTGTTACTTGAGTTATCCGATAACGCTGGCGAAGATGAGGAAGCGGACGGTCCCGTTGAAAGTGTTAGAAAGGAACGCAGCAGCATATTGCTGTCGTTGTATTCGACATTTAACAACGTCTCCCCGCCATCACTGTGAGCCTGCTGAGGGTCGACGCAAGAAATGCAAGCACTGCTCGGTGATGAAGCACGTTTGCGTTCCGGTAAGTAATCGTTCTATATATGTTTTGCGGGATATAAAATAACTCGTGTTTGGTGCCAGCAGACGCCGTTGAGTTGGCCCAGGCGGCTATTAACGCAGCTGAGGATTTAATTGTCGCTGGTGCAGACGCTTCGAACGTTAACGTTTTACAGGGCGCTGTGACAGCTGCAGTTAAGTTCTTCGCAGCGAAGATCCGTGGGGCTCAACGAAATGGTTCCCCTGAGGCCCCGGCTGAAACAGTGATTGGTGAGATCCCGGTGGCTACATCGCCGGTCGCAGCTCCCAAGTCATCGTTGAAACGTCGTGCTTCGCCAGTTGAGGAAATCCGGGGTAATAAGCAGGTCTGCCTTGGTGACAATTCCTCAAATGACACTGGCCAAGCTGAGGCGGATCTGTTTTTTAATCCCTGGGCGGAATAAGTATATCCAGCAGTCATCGTCGCCTTCTTCGTTTTCGTTTACTGACTGGCTCCTGATAGGTTTTATTAAACTGTTCCAAGTGCTCCTGGCTGTTCACCAAATTTTCTTCAGGTTCCCAAGAATTATCCGCGTCTGTGCAATCCTTCCATTTAACAAGATATTGCGTTTGACCACGGTACTGACGTTTATCCAATATAGCTTCAACTTCCCATTCCTCCTGCGCGTCTATAATTATCGGTTCTGCCTGTGGGATCTGTCCGTCGCGCGCGTGATACGGTTCGAGAAGGGAAACGTGGAACACGGGATGAATTCCTTTATATTGTGGCGTAAGCTTCAGTTTGTACGCCTGCGTACCGCGTATATCAATTATTTGGAAGGGACCCAAAAATCGATGATCTAGTTTGGGTGAAGGTCGCAAGGTGGATATATTTTTTGCACGCAGCATTACCCAGTCCCCTATCTTAAAGCTTTTTGGTATATGGCGCTGATCATAATACTTTTTCTCAGCTGCTTTGGCAGCTTCTAGGCATTCTCGGATCCTGTTTTCTGCTTGCTTCATCCGTTCCACTTGTTCTATCGCCGACTTTGACGCGCCCGTGCTTGGGGGTTCCACGTCTATACGAAGTTCAGTTGGTCGGCCGATCATCGCTTCAGATGGTGTCATTTTTATCGATGCGTGGAAGGCGTTATTATATGCCCATTGCGCCAGGGGAATCCACTCTATCCAGTTATCCTGCTGGTAGCTGCAATATGTGCGAAGATAATGTTCAATCACCTGGTTCAATCGTTCCGTTTGGCCGTCGGTTTGCGGATGGAAGGCTGTTGATAATTTTCGTCGGACATGGAGTAAGTAACATAATGTTGACCAGAATTTGCTGTTTATTAATGAATCTCGGTCGCTAATAATGTTCGCAGGTAGGCCAAAGTTCTTCGCAAGCTTCCATACAATAATGTCCGCGAGTCCTTCCGCATCTAGCTTTGAAGATGTGGGTACAATTATGGCCCATTTAGTGAACGAATCAACAAATACGACAATAGCATTGTAAGTTTGACTTCCCTTCTTATTATCTGGTAGGCCTTCAATAAAGTCCATACTGATTGTATGCCATTTCTTATCTGGCACTGGATGTGGTTGTAGCAACCCGTACGGCTTATGCCGCGGTATCTTGACGCGTTGGCAAACATCGCAGGTCCTCACATATTCTGCAATCTCATCGCTCATACCATGCCACGAGTACTTGCGTTTGATCGCTTCGATGGTTTTGTCACGTCCAAAATGGCCACCTTGGGGATCATCGTGGTTCATTTTCATTATTTCATGCCTTACGGCCTTGTCTTGCGGTACGTAGACTTTACCATCTTTCCTGAGCAGGCCATCTTTGTCTACTGCCCAGGTCGAACGATCACCTACGCTAGCGTCACCCACCTCTAGTCTTCTGCGAAGTTCAGACGTGCCAGCGTCCCTATTCTGAACCTGCAGCAAGAGTTCGACAATAGATTCAGCTACCTCTTCGCGATAGGCTGTCTCGGACTCAAATACCTTAACGGCTAGAATCCGTGGCACCAGGGTCCCTAGGTCTAACCCCGTAACGCCGGCGACTTCGTTCTCATCTGCAGGTGCGTTCTTTATCCTGCAGGGTTTGTTGTCATCGATGACTACGGGCCCCTTCGCCCAACAATTTTCTTTAACTTGCAGATTTTTTCGCACCATCTTGACACATTGGTCTAACTTTGTGTTTTCTTTTGTCTTTAGTGACTTAAAGATCCCCTTACGCAGCTTCTCTTGCAGGGTAGGGAGCCCCGTCAAGGGAGCTGCGTGTTTTATATAATCTGAGCGACGACTTGGTGCATCTGCGGGATTATTTTTCCCAGGATGGTGCTCAATTTCAAAATCGAACGCTGAGAGCATTTGCATCCAACGAATCTGACGCCCATTTAGCTGCTTCGTCGTCATGAAGCGCCGGAGGTTGGCATGGTCAGATAAAACAACTATTGGGTGCCTGCTACCATGTAGGTAGTGGCGCCATTGCCTGAAAGCTTCTACAATCGGCAACATTTCTAAATCATATGTTTGATAATGTCTTTCTGCTTCTGTGAGTTTTCTGGACCAAAACGCGATCGGGTGCCAGTGACCATCATCCCATTAATTGCGATATTACTGCGGCGATTGCAACGCCAGATCCGTCCGTTTCTATACGGAGTTTTCGCTGCGGATCAAAATGAACTAACAACGGTGCTTTTGTAAAGCATTCTTTTAACTGCAGTATTGCGTGCTTGCAGTTCTCGTTCAGTTGGACAGGTGCGTTGTTCTTCCCCTTTTTTGTTTCGTATCCTTTTAGCAACTCAGTCAGGGGTGCCGTTATTATCGAGAACTTGTATATGAATCGTCGGTAGAAGTTGGCGAATCCTAGGAATGTTTGCAGCTCGTTTATTGTTCGCGGTTCAGGCCAATCTAGGATCGTATCGACGCGGCGTTTTTCGACAGTGATGCCCTGCGTGGTAATCACAAAACCCAGAAATCCAATTTCTGTTGCATGGAACGTACACTTACTAAGTTTCACATATAGTCTCCATCGCCTTAAACGTTCCAGCACATTCTTAACATGGGCGACGTGTTCGTCAAGCGTATTCGAATAGATTACGATATCGTCAAGATAAGCCACGCAATATACATCCAAAATATCACTGAGGGCCTTGTTGATATAAGATTGGAAAGTCGCAGGGGCGTTGGTTAGCCCAAAGGGTAAAACCAGATACTCAAAGTGTCCGTATCGTGTTCGAAATGCCGTTTTCCACTCATCCCCCGCTCGTATGCGAATTCTATGATACGCGTCCCTAAGATCCAATTGCGTGTATATTTTGGCACCTGCTAACCTATCGAGTATTTCACTTATCAGGGGCAGCGGATACCGATTCTTGACTGTTATTTCGTTCAACCCTCGATAATCTACGCAAAGACGCAGGGTTCCGTCTTTCTTCGGTGCGAATAATACTGGGGCACCGGCTGGGCTCTTGGACGGGCGTATCCAATTCTTCTCTAATGCCTTTTCAATATATTCTCGGAGGACGGAGAGTTCTTGAGGTGACAGGTTATATATCGGTCGGTACGGTGGTTCCTTGCCAGGTTTGAGATCTATGGCATGATCGTGGGGTGCGTGTTCCGCGTCAGGTATATCTTCTCGGAATACATCAAGATAATCCTTATAATCATCCGGGATATTTGGCTCAGTCGCTGCGTGCGCAGCTCGCAATGGAAAGGCGGCGAATATGATGTTGCTGTTGTCCATTAAAGTTGCAAATTCCTTAGCGGTATCTAGGTGCACGTGGCTGATATTTGACGCTTTCCTATAGGTCCAGCATCTTCGCACCCAGTCAATGTCGGGGTTCGCAGCTTGCAACCATGGCATACCCAGAATTACATCGTATCCGCTCATGTCGGCTTCTTCGAAATGGTGGAATCCTTCCCGAAGGACATGTTCATCATCGATAATCTTCATTGCAGCTTTTCGTTGTCCATATGATTTAACCCTATGATTATCAACTGCTTCCACTACTTTCGGTTTACCTTCTGACTTCGAGAAATATTTCAATGCCCAAGCATGGGACACGAAGTTCGCATCCGCGCCAGAATCTACTAACGTCCACGCCATTGACCATCCCACTTCTGTCAACATCCAGGTGTTCATTGCCAATAAGTGTTTATCTCGCAGCCTAGTCGTCTGTATTCCCAATGCAGCAGCTGCTCCTACGATTGGGATTGCTTGTTTTTTGCTTGTCGGACTTGGTTGCGCTTTTCGGGGTATAACATCCAACAATCGTTTGCGACATGCCCCTTCTTATGGCAGTGTGAGCACTCCTTCATCCAATTATATTTATCTTTCTTGGTTTGTTCAGTTAAACTCGTTTGTTCCTCTCGTTTCCTTTTATTCCGGCGGTTGCTAGATTTATCAGAACGACGCTGATTCCCTACGAATATCGCAGGTCTGCCTTTGCGAATGGCGCGTCGTCGCTCCGGCATATTTTCCTCGAGAGTCTATAGAGTTCGAAGCAACTCTTCGTAGTTCTGGGGTTCTTGATTTCGACGGTCGAGTTCGGTGCGTAGCACCTTCAATGCCTTACTACGCAGGTTATCCATTCTCTGTTCCTCGCTGTATGGGGGTAAGTAATACTCCCAATCTTCGAGATATTTAGAAAAGTCGCGTATCGACTGCCACTCCTGTTGCTTAGCATCTTGGAATCTTTGGCTCGCCAATCGACGCTGATTCTGCGGATCGTTAATTTGCATCTCTAGGTGTGATAGCATATCATCGAATGTTAACGGTGCTGCTCCTCCGCGTCTCTCGTATGCTGATACAAAATTCAACCACTTCTGCTTAACGTGGGCATCAAGGTAGAGTTTGGCGTCGTTTATCTTGCGTTCTTCTTTTCGATAATATCGACGGTGGCGTGCAAAGAGAGTCAACATGCGATCTTTATAGTCCTTAAATTCTAACATATTCTTTCCTCGATAGTAATCCTTAATCTCCAATCTCGGCGGTGTTTCGTTATCATCATCCATATCATCTACGGGTCGATTTTGCGGCGGTTCTGCGGCGATATCCGGGGCTGGTCGGGACTCGATAAAAGTATCTTCGCGAATCTGTGCTTCCAACTCGTTGAGGCGTTGTTGCGCGTGCAGAATAGCTAACTGTTGCTCTCGTTCACGGATTTGATCGTTTAACTGTTGCAATCGGGCATTGTGGTCGTCGGAGGTGGTAGAGGATTCGGGTTGGTTCCCAAGGGATCTTGCGCGTGTCGAAACCATCTTGCGTGTTTTAACTAACGTTGCGTGTTTTGTTGTAGGTGTGCGTAACAACGGACCACTCAAATAAGGTTTAGAGCGATTAGAATTGTAAGAGATGGGCTACAAGAGTAATTACAAGAGTAGTGTGAAGTACGCACAAAGGATATTAGAAAGGTAGCAATCTCTATTGTTCAAAGCTAATCGCTGATCTCCTAAAATCCACGGATATCAGCGAGCATTATATAGATAATATTGCCATCGCCACGTATCTATCGCCACGTATCTATCGCCACGTATCTATTTCCTAATATAGATATCTCCGTTGCGCCTATTACAGTTGAATGCAATACTAAAACCCTTTTCATTGAGTTCAAAAGCAATATCAGCACAGAATTTCTTTCATTCCTATCAATTTCAATGCATCTTCATTAATATTTGCTTTTAAATAAAAAAAGTCTGTTTTGTAGATTTGTTACTGTGAGAGGCATTTTGAAGAAATTCATTACAGATAGTAAAATAGAGGAGATCAGAGTTAAAATTATATTCAAAAACTCTGATATATATACAATTGATTTGATGAACAGAGAGATTTGTAATATTCATGATCTTAGTGATAGTTTTTACAATATAAAATGATTTGAAAGCCACCACAAATGTCTGAATGATGATATCAGTATTGAGAGCCACGATTGAAAGCAGCACTGATGATGAAAAAATAACAAACCGAGACAATAAAAACTAAGTGGGAGCCTTTTATATTTTAAATGAGGGGTAGTTTTATTACATTTTAATACTGTGATGGTGCTCACTATCTAATAGCAGTTTTTTAATTATCTTGGCGAGACAAAATTTTTTGCAGCGGCTTCTGTATTGAAATTGTATAATCTCATGTATCGGCGATTCGGAAAATATCCTTCTTAGCGCTTACCTTCCCGTCCTCCAGGTGCCTCTCCAACCGTCCCAGACCACCAGACGAAACTCGTACGGATGCCCATAGAGCTCCCTCAGCATTTAACGCCCTTTATGAAATAGCAGCACATCACAAACACCAGGTTTTCATTTTTCTCGAACCTAGCCCATGCCGTGAGCTGACCCGCCAGAGCTAAGGGGACCCCTTGCAGGAGACAGATTCAGATCAACGTTGGCCAAGGCGAAATTTATCTGTCCACTGAACAGCAATTCTTTTCCTCAGCACTTCTGCGCTGTTCTCAATGACGACGCAATCCAATTCCAATGCCTGCTGTGACGGGGTGTCCCGCCCGCCGCAGGCTGCTTGTGATTCCTTGAATGGTCGTCTCCATCGCGCTGCGGTCGTCGATGACGGCATCGCCTTTGCGCCGGTGGACAAGAGATTCCATGTAATGGGAGAGCCCTTGCCGGTAATTGCGATGATGGGGGCGGATGCTACTATTGCATGCCAGCTTGAATGCGAAGGATCCCACGGCTCGTGCCGTAGATGCTTGATGGGATTGACTCGCGGGAGGGCCCAGAGGAATGGAAAATGACGGGGTGTGCGCAGAGGTATGGAAGTGGTCCATGCAGCGAAGGAGGATCGTTGCGGCTTCTGTGAATCGAGTTGTGCGATGGAGCTAATACCAGCGACATTACTTCCATTAACGGGAACAGGGGCATGACAATTGGATATACGTGGATGATGTCTTCTCCCTTTCAACTTCAAATGAGGTTAGCTGGAACGTTGTATGGCACCAAGTGTTTCAATTGCATATTCGGGCATAAGAGCCACCTGTTGCCACCCGGGGACGAAGGAGTAGGTCAAGTTACCTTTTTCTTGATTTATTTTCCTTACGTGATTTCATGCTGGCCCAACTTCTGATAACTTGAATGTCACTACAATTGCGCCAACGTCCTCGT